GGGGGGGTTGGGGTTTTAAGGGATTTATAATCAATTACTGTAATGAACTTTTATATATATTGAACTCTATCAAGTGATTGGAGGTCTGCAAGTTTCTTATAATATACCCCACTGTCATAAAACAAAAGGCAGCAATACAAAGGCAGCTTTAAGATTATCAAATCAACTGTGATGTTCCATTCAAACTCTGAGGAGACTCAGTGTAACAGAATTGAAACGGGAAGTCTGTTAAGAGTTGAAACAACATTTCCCAAAATAGCTTGCAAGTCTGCAATCCTGCCTTAGCTCTGAGAAATAAATGTGTTCTCCCACTCAAAGACAGTATCTTCTTGGTGAATAAATCTCATTTGATTTGCAGAGTGAACAGCTGCCCTTGACAATTCCATTGTAACAAAATGATGAAGGAAAACCATTATAAAAATTCCCAATAAGCCACCATGACATATTACGTGTTCTAGCAGTCATTTTAAAGGTTCACATATTTTTAGTATCATGTTTACCTGCATAAGCAGTAATCCAACTATAAAAGCGCTTCCTTGACAATATCCAACCTCACGATCCACCAAAGAATAAGCCTGAGAAACAAAGGTTTAAAACTCAACAACTAAAACCTCATTACCAATAAAAAGTAAACAGTTCATGCTATTGTTTTGCTCGTAACTTACTCTTCCTCTCCCATATCTGATGAGGACAGACATTCTATTCAGAAGTTTTAGTCAGATATTCTAGTTGCTACCTGCTGCTACAAAGGGGTATGAACTCTGCTCTCTCATGACCTACAAAGCTAAAACTAAGGCACACCTAAAAAAATACATGCAGTTTTCAGCTACAGGAAAAAGATCAGAGACAGGTGGCACACAAACTGCACAAGGTTACTACTTTTATAGGAGACAGACCAGACAAAGAAACGATAGCTCTTTTCAGAAAAATTATGCGCTGCAGATTTACTCATAGGTGGAAGAATGAGGTGATGTCCACCCATGTTGCAGCTTCATTTTAGAGTTATGGAACTCACTATGATCTGGAAACCTGACAACTTTTCTGTTGAAACGGTGTTGTATGGAAAAGTCTGCCTTTCAAAATTTAAACTCGAGTTCAATGAAGACAAAATAATGCAAACTTAATTTTCTGGTGGCGTTCTCATTTTGTGCTCAGGCACTGTAACAACCGCGCATCGGCTTGTTTGTACCCGCCACTTGCTGCTACCACTTGCAGGTTCAGAAACGCTTGGAAACTGAATGGTAGTTCTGACTTACAACATCCTTGTCTTGGTTAACTCTGGTTACTTGACTTCATGGCACACTATTCCTTTTACCAGTTCACACGTGACTGTTTTAATGCAAACTTTGTAAGAGATTTAAAAAGTAAAAACATTAACTCTAGGAATATCATATTGGAAAGCTATCTTTGAAACTGGAACGTCATTTATTAAACCATTCCAGTGTCAAGCAGAGTAAGGTTTTTTTTTAAATACATGAGACTGATGCAAGGTCAGTATACACAAGGCAAATTATTTTCCAAACTTTTGTGCACATTCTTGCTGATGTGTTTTCAAGGGCTGAAATACTGACTTACCTTCATTACATTGAACAAGACCTCCTGTCCAAGGCTGTCTTTTTCTTTAAAAAAATCATGTTCAGGGTATGTTCTAGCAATGTCCCTTCTTATTAATTTCTCACAGGGAGAGGTCATTTTCAAAAGCTCTGAATACTGATCCTTAATTGGCATGCTTTGAGCACTGCATAGAAGCTGCCAAACAATTGCTCTGAAATGATGAGGTATCCCTTTTCGAACAAGCTCCTAAAGCACAAAAAGACAAATTCATTTATATTTCCTGAAGATATAAACATAAGCCTGGAGAACAAAACACTTCAACATATTATGTTCCTCACAACTTCAGGAAATGTTTACATCATGTCACAAGCCAATCATACAGTTCATAACGTGTAAACCTCCGTTTTTGTGGGACAGATCGTTAGCTAACAGAAGTAAGATGACTCTGAATCATTTTTAGTGGCTAAGTTAGCTAATGAAAGTAGCCCCCTACTCATAGTAAGCTACTAAAAAAACTGAATAGTCAAGTAATTTTAAACAAGAGTTCCCATTAGTCACAATTTAATACAGTTGTTTTTATATTTCACAAGAGATGACTGCAGATAAAGCCCTTTATTATATTTGTAATGATCAAGATGTAAGAAATCACCAATTAAAAATTAATTCCAAGACAAGTAAATGATAAAAAGTGGAACTAACTGTAGCACAGCCAACTGCAACAAACAAAAAAGTTGCACAGTACTACTATCAGAAGTCATTTGACAAACTTGACAAGTTGTGTCTAATTTCCCTGGTGTGCCAGTATTTCCACCTTCTCTTTTAAGAAAGTATTGAAATGTAGTTTCAGACACTGGACCAAGAAAACATTAAGTTTACATCTACTAAATTAACTAAATTTACTTCACCTTCCCTGAAAAAAGTAAAAAATAAAAGTCAGCTAGGTATGATACGATTCAAACCTTCCCAGATCAGTAGATCTAAGAACTTGATACTTGTCTTTTCAGAAAGCACAAGCACGAAGTGGTCTTGTTGCTTGATCTGAAAACTGAGAAAAAAGTATGATTCAGGAAGTTTACAGACTGTCTTAGTGGTACTTTCCACAACTAACATCAGACTGACCTAGAAGATTGTCTCTTCCAGACAAGAGCATTCTGTCAGTAACTTTTTGCACCTTAAAAACTGTCGTTGAGTGTTCTGTCTCCTAAAGGATAGTTTCTTCCACTACTATTTATTCTGAAGCCAGAGTAACCTATTCCGCAAAGCTTCCTCTTTTTCCTCTTTGTTCCAAATATTTCTCCTGCTTCTCCAAAATTAAGATTACTTAATGCAACAGCGATAACTTTTAAAGAGACTCTTGCTTTCAAGTTTTGTTCTTGTTAAGCTTGAACTCCACTGCAGGAGTTCTGCATCACTGTCCTCAATTTTCTAATATCCCCAAGGCCTCCAGCCTTCTTCAGAGCCACCCTAGTAATGCTACTCCAACTGTCTGTCCCATCTAAGACACCACTACGACACCCTGTGTTATTCCCCAAAAGATTTCCAGCTATAAGACAACAACCCTAACAAATCAGCTTTCCACACCTGCCTCTAGCTTAACAACACACTATCAGACTATATCAGTCACCTAAAGCCTCAGGGCCTACTGACAACACGAGCATTGGCAAGTGGTTTCTTGCTTTAAGTTACTACACACCTGCTTGACAGAGTAACAGGGTTAATCCCTCCAGCATTCCTAAAGGAACAGCGGGAAGACGCACTTACTAAGCAATACTAAAATGATGCTATTCTACACGGTATTATGCACACTGAAAAGCAGGACTTAAGTCATCCTTCAGAATCCCTGAGGGGAAGAGAGTTCTGAAGTGGATCAAGAGACAGAAGGATGGAACATCACCTACGCAGGAAGGTATGCACACCTATGTCAAACTTACAAAACTTACCAGAAATCTAGTAACTTAAGACCAGCTTTTACAGCCAAGACAAAAAGACACCTGCGCTGCTAAAGTCACACCTACTGGCACAATCAGGAAATAGGTATGGATGTTCTGGTATTCCATCGTAAATGCAGAATGACACAGTTTAGGCTGGCTTTCCACAAAAAAAAAAAAACAAAAAAATATTGAGAATTATTTAACCAACAAAGAAAAACTCACTAGCAATATAATTAAATATTTACTGAACGTTGTCAAATACTCCCCAAATTATACTTGGCCAGCTGTAAAGAGAAGTGATACTTGTGACACTAAAATGTTCAAATGGATTCCACTCAACTTATTACCATCTCACTTCTTTCTCTGGCCAGTTCATGTGACCGCCTTTTCACGGCCTTTTGGGAACACCTTTCCAGAAACTGTTTTTCTCTACACAAGCAGGAAGTCTTGAATTCATTTTCTCCCCTTGTTTCCTCTCTCAAGTCATGTTCTCTCTTCACAACTGCTTCACATAAAAGATACTTTACTTCAGCCCATTGTTCTGCCTTCCCACAACCTATTCATACACACACATTTCAAACTGCTCAAAAGACCTTGAAATTTGTATTCTGCACATAAAATTACAGACTAGAGCCAATAAAGAACGAAAGCAGAACAGACTTGCCTACAAACAAAAAAATCCCACGCTGCTGTACTTGCTGCCTCTGAAACGTGGCTATGCTGAAATGCCCTAGATGCTTTTTAGTTCGAATTTACAGCACAATTGAATTCCACTTCTGTGTGCCCCCACAACTAACCCAGACTGGACGCACACTGGCCAAAGTCTGTCCGATCCAATCGGAATGTAGAAAGCATGTGTTCTTTTGCTCAAGGTCATCCCTGGGGTCAACACACTTGGCACACACAAAAAATTAAACTCAGAGCCTCACACAGCAGAATTATCACCTTTTAATAAGAATGCTTTCAAAAGACAGTTGCTCAGCGGGGAAAACAATCACAGCATCCAGCTGTCAGATGCCCCGAATCAGGTTTGCAGTAACTCCATTTGGGAAACATGAAACCAGCCTCGCCTGCATTCATGGGAATCTCTCATTAGAGGTAAACCGAGAGCTTTCGTGTTCAAGATGTAGTAAATGCATCTACATTGCAGTAAGAGACATTTGCTGGGCAAAACTGTGCCGAAGTCTGGTAACAGTTCCATAGGAAGACTAAGGCTTAGGGATGGAACAGATGCAACTGGAAGCTTCTATTACATATTTATTTAAAAAAATAAGACCAACTGGAAGATAAAACAGCATCACTTATATCTCATTACAATTATATCCCAAAAAATAGTGTCCAACTGCTACCTTAACTTGCTTTTCTTTCTTTTTCCGTACATCTTCCCATTCATTCACAATCCTACCCCACAGGATCCATGAATCTTCTTCAAGATGGCTGAGATTGCTGGAAGCTGATGAACTGGATACAAGAGAAGAGCCACTATTTCTTCTTGACCCATTTACTGATCGCAAGGATTTGCTATCTGTTTCCAAAAGTCTGCAAAGAAAGCACACAAAAAACAAATTGGAGTTCTTCTAATCACAGGACCACAGTATTAATTGTTTGTTTAGAAGTCAATTCTTCCAACCTCTTCACAAAGAACGCACTCAGC